TGAAAACAATTTCATATATATATATATATATATATGTTCATTTTTTTTCCTCCCTCCCTCTTCAAAATATGAGTTTCCCTCCTTTTTTTACATTCATCACTTTTGGATGAACATATATTCATGGTTTTTTCTCTCTTTCACAGTTTGGGTCTGAATTTGTTACTTTTTAAGAAATTTACTACTATTAAAAAAAATGTTCCAGCAAAAATAGAGAAAGAAGAAGAGGAGAGAGAGAGAGAGAGAGAAGGGGCTTATTGCCTCACTGCCTTGAAATTCTAATCCTCTTCTGGGTTCATCTTCAATGCTTGAAATTCTATATATATAGATATATATATTTTGATTGAGGAATTTCGGCGGCCTCCACAGTAATATCAAACCCAAACACTCATAACCATCACTAAATACCGAAATTTTACGGTGCTCTGTTTTTGTGGTGGTTTTTGGAATATTAAATTTCAGTTGAGAAGGGCATGATTTCGATTGTTTTTCAGATATTTAAAACAGTTTGCCTCTACCTATTTGTTCATGGCAGATCAAAGTATCTGTATTAATGGACAACAAAAGCAAATCCCTAATCCTAAGATACACATATGGATCTCATTGAGATCCAAAGGAGAAATTTAATCTTGGCAGCAGGATGAGAGAGATGGGTTTTACTGAGGAAAGGGTTGGAGAAGAGGTGTTGCTACGGGAAGAAGAGGAGGAAGATAAGGTAAGCGAGAGAGGAGGAGGGGAGCTGTTAGAAGGGGTAGGGGTTCCATAGTTCAGATGAGGAGGAAGATAAGGTAAGCGAGAGAAATAGGGCAAAGAGAGAACAAAAACAAAAAAAAACAAAACCTCCAAAACGACGTCGTTTTGGAGGTTTTGTTTTTTTTTGTTTTTGTTCTCTCTTTGCCCTATTTCTCTCGATTACCTTATCTTCCTCCTCATCTGAACTATGGAACCCCTACCCCTTCTAACAGCTCCCCTCCTCCTCTCTCGCTTACCTTATCTTCCTCCTCTTCTGAACTATGGAACCCCTACCCCTTCTAACAGCTCCCCTCCTCCTCTCTCGCTTACCTTATCTTCCTCCTCTTCTGAACTATGGAACCCCTACCCCTTCTAACAGCTCCCCTCCTCCTCTCTCGCTTACCTTATCTTCCTCCTCTTCTGAACTATGGAACCCCTACCCCTTCTAACAGCTCCCCTCCTCCTCTCTCGCTTACCTTATCTTCCTCCTCTTCTGAACTATGGAACCCCTACCCCTTCTAACAGCTCCCCTCCTCCTCTCTCGCTTACCTTATCTTCCTCCTCTTCTGAACTATGGAACCCCTACCCCTTCTAACAGCTCCCCTCCTCCTCTCTCGCTTACCTTATCTTCCTCCTCTTCTGAACTATGGAACCCCTACCCGTTGTTGTTGAAGGCAGAGAAAATGGTAAACAAATCAAAGAAAATTTTAAGTAAACCAGAGAGAATTTTTTTAGTTTGAAGAGAATTTCTCTGATTTGTACCAGAGAAATTCAAAGCTAGATGGTTGTTGTTGTTGTTGAAGGCAGGGAAAATGATAAGGAATTTCTCTGGATATCTACAAAGCTATGTCCTCATGGGAAGCCACTGATCTTTCTCTTATATTTGGATTTTTGATTTCTAAATTCTTACACTAACAAACACACTACAGACACAGACACATCCATTGGAAGAATGCAACATAATATTTTTATTAGATATATGCTCCAAATAATATACCAGGTAAATCTTAATTATTTAACTAGTTTTCAACTCGTTAGCCCAAATGCTTCCGGTGGTACTTCTTGTGAATTTTGTCAGTGAAACCGTTTTCAAACTAAATTAGCATTTTTATTCTAATTGCCCACAGAAGCCCCAAGGATCTTTTACTAGTGTAATCAAGGAAATTGAAGAAAAATGAAGAAACAAACCACAAGTACTGCACATGAAATTTACTTATTCACTGTTTGACCTCCGTCCACGGGAAAACTGACAAGAAAATTTCCAAATTTAATGGGAGATGTTGCAAGGAGATTAAAGAAATCAAACCACTTTAGTGGATAACATAACACCAATGGCCTATGAAACCCACTCACATCTTAAGTCAAAGTATATAATTACCCCCTTCATAAGTACTGTACAATTAATGAAGAACATAAAGCCAGTCATCGTCTTCTTCTTCGACGGCGGCGACGGCGATCGCGATCAGAGGTGGAGACTCGGAGAAGCCAGGAGAGGCGGGAAACGGTGTATCTGAAGGGAGTGGTGTTGTGAAGAGTGAAAATGCAGCGGTGCCGGCGACGTCGAGAGTGAGAGAGAGTTGATCAGAAGTTTACTGCTATGGTTGCGTGTGGTGTTGAGGTTGGTGTTGGGCTATGCTTCGCTGTGGTGCTGTCTCGGTGCAAAGGGAGAGAGAGTTGTTTGTCCATAGCTTCCGATGGTAGCTCTTCGTTTAGATCGGGCACGGAAGGAGAGACAAAGAGGGGATATGTTTAGGGACCTTAGACATCAAAAAATAATTTTGTGGATCTCTTCCATTATGAAAAGTGGGAGAGGGACCCTAGACTAATTTTCCCTAAGAGTAAAGAGAAAAATTAACTTTTTTATAATGAATTTTTAACTATTTTAACATGTTGTCAAAATAGACCTTCATCTTTCTAAACAAGGCCTCAGTGCTTTTTTTTTTTCTAATGGAATTAGTACCCTTTGAATTGTGTCATGAATTCTATTTTATATTATTTATGAGAATGTTAGAGGCTTACTTGTATAATTTCCTATGTTAAAAATTAAGAAAATTCTTCTATAAATACTTCTTACTCTAGGTATTCCTAAGTTATGTCATTTTTTTTAATTATGATTAAATTTTTTTCTTTAATTATAATCTTATTTGAATTATGACTAATGAGATTTTTGGTTATGCTTCACGTGTCATTTGGTTATAATTTTTTTTTTTTTTAGTCATGATTCATAAAATATGAAATTATGTAACATAATAAATCCCAAATTTGAGAATGTTAGCCCATTTAGTCCCGAATGTTTTTTGTTGGACTAATAGGTCCTATTTCTCTAAAAGCTTACTATAGGCCTTTTTATATCAAACATTATTCATCAAACATCAAACATTATTCAACATCACCAACATCAAACATTATTCAACATCACCAACATTATTCAAACATTTTTCAACATCACCAACGTCATCAAACATCAAACATTATTCAACGTCAGGATTATTTATCAAACATCAAACATTATTCATCAAACATAAAAAATCAGATTTATTTTTAAAAAAAATGAAACTAAACATCACAACATTATCATCAAAACAACATCAAAATAACGATTCAATGATTTTTTTAATAACGATCAAACATCAAAATAAACAATTAAAAAAACATCAAACATCAACATGACGAATGGCAGTCCCTCTGGTTTATTAATCTATACGAACATCATCTTTCAACTATGAATTCCTCGACTTTGAATTCCATGAATAGCATCTCGAAAAGCCCTACGGTTTCTGGGAAAGTTTCGAATTTGGGTTCTCAAAGGTTTGTGATTCATTATTCGTCATCGCAGAGATCACCATCACATCGCTCATAACTGTTACAAACATCGCCAAAAACCCTAGGAAAACAACACAGCTTAATTACTTGGTATATCAATTTTAGCATTAACGGCAATAAACAATGAATAATAAGCAATAAACTTAAATTCCCATCAAGAAGAGATTAGAAAAAGGGCTATCATATTGAAAACTGCCCAAGATTTCCCTGGGTAACCAATTGAAATAAGAACCCTAGAGAAAAGGTTAGTAATGTAACCTGGACGGCAGAAACATTGGTAGGGAAACCATAGATGCACATAACCATTTCCCAAGGCCACTTTTTCTTCGTCCTCCATGCTCCGCTCCCTATTTCCCCATTATGCTCCCTAATTCTACGCCTTGGATTCACTGTAAATCTATCAGATTTGACAAAAAAAAGATCATGATGAGAACTCTAAATAAAATAAACAAAGAGTTTAAATTGGAAAGTGATGAGTGACAAGGAGACAAACCCGATGTAGTTCGAAACTCTCCAGCAATATATATATATATATATAAATATATGAATCTATTGGTATGTCTATGTATATATCAATCTATTGATGATGTTCGAATATATTGGTGATGATGTTCGAATGTTGATTGATGTTTGTTGATGGTGATGATGTTTTGTTTGATGATGTTTGTTGTTGTTGATGATGTTCATAATTTTGTTGACGATGTTTGTTGATGTTTGATGATGTTTTGTTAATGTTTGATGTTATTGATGTGTTTGATGATATTTTGTTGATGTTTGATGTTTGTTGATTTTTTTTTATGTTTGTTGACGTTTTAATGTTTGATGTTGTTTTGATGATGATGTTGTGATGTAAAAAAAGGACTAAATGGTTTATAAAAAAACACTCAGGACTAGATGGAGTAACATTTCCCAATATGAGACTTATGAGTAATTTTTCTAAAAAAATTATTAAAAAAAATAATTACACTGTATGACGTGATTGAAAATTTGTCATAAAAAAATCTGCAACACAATAAACTAGGTGTATTTGTCAATGCATGGATGGCACTTTTAACCGTTACCCGGAATATCTATAACATATATAAAAAGGATACAGTGTGTAACGTATGTAACATTGGTGCTTGATTATAAAGCATCTAACACTCCTTTTACCAATATCTTCCTTCTATTCAAACCATAATTACCACTCACCCTTCCTTGTCAACTATGCCTCTCTCGACCCTTAACAATGGCAATAGCCACAACATCTACAACCGATTGACCAACCAATCGGAGGCCACCATCTCTCCTTTCTTGAATCTTGCACAAAACGCATACACCGCTATCACCATTTCAGGAAGATCACAAGCAGCAGGAACCTTCAAGAAGGGATAAGCTGATGACACAACCAATAAGCTCTTCAGGAGTTGAGTGGTGTGATCGGTGGAACGGTGGAAGATCTAAAAGAGTTAAGTGGATTTTCAAACACATCACCGAAACAGAACGTTCAGTATATTTATGGCCATACATCCTGGATTGGTGTATGTTCTATGAGCTGGAACAACCTGCAGAAACTGAGGTGTGTCTTCTTCCTTTTGTCTATTATGAAATTATTCCTAATTTATCTATTTGGGGTTCTATTCTTGATCCTCACAACTGTTTAATTGTGTGTCCACTATGTACTCGATCATATGACATTGGGTTCTTGGTGAAAGATCTTAGGTTTTTTAGGGTGCTTTGTTTGACAGTATGTATTTGATTTCCTTATTCTGTTGCCCCAATTCAATTTAATATTTGGCTCAAACTATGTGGTGTCTTTGTTTTGTTGTTCTGCTATAATTTTATCTTGTGCCCACCATGTGTTTGATAATATGCCCAACCCAATAATAACAAAATTTCATTGATGGATGATGACAACCTTGCTTTTTTACTAGTTTGTTCTCCCTATCTGGAATTTTTTTATTTGAACCCGTGAAACAAGATGATTTCATTGGATTTCCCCTTTGGGTTCAAAATTGTAGCTAATGAAAACTACGTAGTAGGGTATTTGTAAAAAGAAAATTATTGTTGTTAAATTTCAACCATTGTGGTTATATTGGTGTAAATTTTATGAACCATTGGTAGTGATAAATATTATGACACCTTTGAG